AGCAGTCGTAGTAGTAGTAGTAGTAGTAGTAGTAGTAGTCGTAGTAATCGTAGTAGTCGTAGTAGTAGTAGTAGTAGTAGTAGTAGTAGTAGTAGTAGTAGTATTAATAGTAGTAGTAGTAGTAGTAGTAGTAGTAGTAGTAGTAGTAGTAGTAGTAGTAGTAGTAGTAGTAGTAGTAGTAGTAGTAGTAGTAGTAGTAGTAGTAGTAGTCATAGTAGTAGCAGTTGTGGTAAACAATAGAAGCAATTCTGTTACTAACACTCGTAGTCGTAGTCGCAGTCGTCCATGCAGTAGGAGTAGTAGTGGTAGTAGTAGTAGTAGTAGTAGTCGTCGTAGTCGTAGTCGTAGTAGTAGTAGTAGTAGTAGTAGTAGTACTCGTAGAAGTAGTAGTAGTAGTAGTAGTAGTAGTAGTAGTAGTAAAAGTAATGGTGGTAGTAGTCGTAGTAGCAGTAATCGTAGTAGTAGTAGTATATTAGTAGTAGTGGTAGTAGTGGTAGTGATAGTGATAGTAGCGCTAGTAGTAATAGTAATACTAATAATAGAAAAAGTGGTTGTAGTAGCAGAGTAGCCGTAGGAGGGGTAGGATCAGTAGTAGTAGTAGTAGTAGTAGTAGTAATAGTAATAATCGTAGAAGAAAACTAAGTAGTAGTAGTAGTAGTAGTAGTAGTAGTAGTAGTAGTGGTAGTAGTAGTGGTAGTAGTAGTAGTAGTAGTAGTAGTAGTAGTAGTACTAGTAGTGGTACTAGTAGTCGTAATAGTAGTAGTCGTAGTAGTCGTAGTAGTAGTAATAGTAGTAGTAGTAGTAGTAGTAGTAGCAGTCGCAGTTGTAGTAGTAGTAGTAGTAGTAACAGTAGTAGTAGTAGTAGTAGTAGTCATTATAATCCTAGCCGCAGTGGAAATAGTAATATGAGTACCAGTATTAGTATAGTCGTAGTGGTAGCCGTATTAGTCGTAGCAGTAGCAGTCTATGTAGCAGTAGTAGTAGTAGTAGTAGAAGAAGAAGAAGTCGTCGTAGTAGTAGTAGAAGTAGAATAGTAGTAGTGGTGGTAGTACTACTATTAAAGTCGTGGTAGTAGTAGTATCAATACTACACTACCAATACTAGTAGTAGTCGTGGTGCGAGTAGTCGTAGAAGTATGTAGTAGTAGTAGTAGTAGTAGCAGTAGTAGTAGTAGCAATAGTAATAATACTAGTCGTCGGGCTGACGGGCTCCTGGTCGCAGGCCGTTATTCCCCCCCAGCGACCCTTACGGTTCTGATGGAGTTCTGTTGCTTTCCACGCTCCCACCATAGAAAACAAACATTCCATGGTATGTGTGGTGTGTGTGTGTGTTGGTGTCTGGTGTGTATGGTGGTGTGTGTGTGTGGCGGTGTGTGTGTGTGTGTGTGGTGATGTGGTGTTCTTCTTGTGGTTTTTGTTCGTAGTTGTCGGTAGTTGTTGATGCTTGTGGTTCTTCTTGTTGCTGGTCGTTGTTAATGTTGCCTGTCGTTGCTTTTGGTTGTTGTTATTGTTGTTGTGGTTGTTCTTGTTGTTGGCTGTGCTTGTTGCTGTTGGCGGTTATGATTGTTGTTTGTTGTTCTGGTCATTGGGGATGGAGGTTCTTGTTGTCGCTGTTTTTTTTTTTTTTTTTGTTCCTCTGCGGTCTGCGCGACGAGGGGGGGAGGACGAGCAGGAGGGGCATGTGTGCGCCTTCGTTCCCACAGTGCGCTGGTGCCCGCAGCAACGACCGTCGGCCCATGGAGCCCGCATCGCTGTGGCGCAAGCTGCTGGTGGAAAAGTCGTGCCTTCGCAGCAACCGGCGTCGGCTCATCGAGGCCTCATCGCGGTTCGGGACGAAAGGATCGGAGGACTCCATGCGACCCTCCCCTTCTCCTCCGGCTCCTCTGATGATCCCCCTCCTCCTGGCAGGAGCATTGTAGGAGCTGGAGCGACCGAATCCCACCAGCCCTTTAGGGCGTAGGTGGTCTAGGGAGTTTCCTCTGCCAACCCCCTTCTTCCCCTTCGGGGAGGGGTTTACCCCTCCCCTTACCCCTCCCCACTGACCTGGACGGGGCCGGTCGCGAGGTGTCAGAGCGTCCAAGATGGCCCAAGACAGCTCCAAGAGCGAACAGGCGAGAAAACACAAAACATTGATTTTACCTAGGTTTTGGAAGGATTTTGGCATCTTGGGGGGGTCCAAGAGGCGACTCGAGGCACTCTGGAGGGGCGGGGCTAATAAGGAAACCCCCCTTCTTTGATAGATCTCCTCCAAGATGGCCCAAAGAGCGCCCCGAAGGCTCCCAAGAGCGCCCCAAGAGCGCCCCAAGAGGGCCCCAAGAGACCCCAAGAGGCCCCCAAGAAGCCTCCAAGACGTTGCCAAGAGACCCCCAAGAGGCCCCAAGAGAGTCCAAGATGACCCAAGACAGCTCCAAGAGCGACAAGGCGACAAAAACACAAAACATTGATTTTACCTAGGTTTTGGAAGGATTTTGGCTTCTTGGGGAGGCCCAAGAGGCGACTCGAGGCACTCTAGAGGGGCAACGCTAATAAGCAACCCCCTCTTCTTTGATAGATCTCCTCCAAGATGGCCCAAAGAGCGCCCCGAAGGCTCCCAAGAGCGCCCCAAGAGCGCCCCAAGAGGGCCCCAAGAGACCCCAAGAGGCCCCCAAGAAGCCTCCAAGAGGCTGCCAAGAGACCCCCAAGAGGCCCCAAGAGAGTCCAAGATGGCCCAAGACGGCTCCAAGAGCGAAAAGGCGAGAAAACAGAAAACATTGATTTTATCTAGGTTTTGGAAGGATTTTGGCCTCTTGGGGGGCCCAAGAGGCGACTCGAGGCACTCTAGAGGGGCAGCGCTAATTGGGGAACCCCCCTTCTTTGATAGATCTCCTCCAAGATGGCCCCAAGAGCGCCTCGAAGGCTCCCAAGAGCGCCCCAAGAGCGCCCCAAGAGGGCCCCAAGAGGCCCCAAGAGGCCCCCAAGAGGCCTCCAAGAGGCCCCCAAGAGACCCCCAAGAGGCCACAAGAGGCTCCCCGAGATACGCAAGAGGCCCCCGGGACCGCCAAGAGGCCCCAAGGACGGCCCAAGAGGCCCCCAAGCTCGCAATTGTCCTCCTCCTCCTCCTCCTCCTCCTCTTTTTCTTCCTCCTCCCTCCTCCCCCTCCCCCTCCTCCTCCTCCTCCTCCTCCTCCTCCTCCTCCTCCTCATTCTCCTTTTCCTCCTTCTCGTCCTCCTCGTCCTCGCAGTCCTCCATCTCCTCCTCCTTCTATTCCTCCTCCTCCTCCTCCTCCTGCTCCTCCTCCTGCTCCTCCTCTTCCTCCTCCTACTCCGACGACGACGGCTCCTCCTACATCCTCCCCCTCTTGGGGTATATGGCGGTTCACCCCGCCCTTTGTTCTTCTGCATGCTCCCCCGCTTCCCTCATAACCTCCACTCCCCTGGGACTCATTTCTGGACGGGCTGGTGGGGATACGCGAAGCGTCAAGAATTACCCTGTAGCAGATGAGACGGGAGAGCGGGCGGGCAACGGCTCCGAACGCGGTCAGGCCTATGCAAGCTGCCTTGGAGAGCTGCCCTTCATGGATCCTCGTTCTCCTCATCCTCCTCATCCTCCCCCTCCTCCTCCTCCCCCCCAAAGAGCAAACCTGCGGCGGATAAAGGAGCAATGCATCTTGCTGTTCGCCCTGGCGGGCTCGGGAACATTCCACGGAGGGCTACCCACTACCCACTACCTAGGCTGTGAAATCTACGCCTAAGTGTATGCTAGTGTACACGCCGCGCACGACGCTGCGCATTGACAGCAATGTGCTAACACCCACCGTGACCAATTTCATGGGGTCGTACATTGAAAAGGCGAGGCTGTAGTATTGGATCATCAGCAGCATCACAGCCTGGGAGGTGGTATCGTGGTGCATGAGCACGAGGAACTTGTCGGTGCGAAATCCGCGCTCGATGGACTTCCTCGTCTCATCGAGGAATTGCTTTGGTCCTACCACCTTGTAGAAATTGAAAAGCGCCTTCAGATACACGAGGAAAGTGACGGCGGCGAATCTGAAGTTCTGGGTGGTGACGTACGCGTAGACGCTGTACAAATCAAGAATCATCAAGCCCATCGCGAACATGATCGCTTCGTAGATGATCCGGAATGTTCCCTCCTCGATGGGCCCGTCCTCGCGCCGGTCCTCCGGCGACGCGAACTGCGGGTCGATCTCCTTCGCGCGCTGCAGCACGCGCTCCAGGGCCTCGTCGTCTTGGGCTGGGCAGCAGAAGCACGCGCATCGGCACGTGCCTGCCAGGCAGGCGAGCGCGATCCAGCACACCAGTAGAACGAACAAGAAGAAAGCGTTTTGAAAAGAAATCGTCGTGTATTCTGGATCTTCTCTCTGATATGCCTGGCTGCACTGCCCGCGAAGCAGCCACCCACCTGCCAGCTGCGTGCACTGCTCAAACGTCACGAGGTCGAGCTGCTGGCAGGGCATGAAAGGGGGCACCCCCAGTCGGTCGCACGTAGCCAACGCGTTTGGGATAACATCGCTTTCGTTCTGAAGATACACCAGCGGGATGAAGGGGTCATTGATCCGTTCTCCAAGATGTAAGCTGACTGCCACCACGAAGAATACGATAGCACAGATCACCTCAAGCAAGCGGAGAACAGGCAGCCACGCCAGGAGCATCGGGCGCCCGCCGACGGGCAATCTGCGCAGTCTCAGCGCGGAGCTCGGCTCCGGGAAGAAGAGGCGCACCGGCTCGCGCCACGCCGCCCATGGGTCCCCGTGCGCGCACGCTCCAATACACGCCTTGAACGCCACGAAGGGCAAGATCGTGATCACGGGGTGGGTGGTCCAAGCCGGACACCCGAACCATGCCATGGACATAGCGAGCTCGAGATACGTGAGCGCCATGACCACCCAAGAGTAGATTGGCTGCGACCTGCTCACGTCCTCATTGGCAGCCCACAGGCGCGCCGCGATGCTCGGCCCGGCCGGACCCTCGGTCTTGGCCTCGACGGCGAGTCGCAGCGGGGAAGCGTCACTGGCCTCTGGGCCGTTGACTGCCGAAGGTGCCTCGTGCAGCGAGCGCCTCGCGGCGAGCGGCTGCAGCTCGGCTGTCAACGCCGGAGTCTGGTCTGGCGGTTCGGAGACGAACTCGGGGCCCAGCTCGGCTGTCAGCGCCGCAGTCATAAAGCGTCTGGTGGGGCGGACCGACGTGTGATGTCGGGCAGCTGTTGGGGCAGCCGAAAACACCTCTTGAGCCAAAATGGCTACGGGCTGTTGGTGGTTATTGTTGGTGTTGTTGTTGATTGTTCATGTTATTGTTGGTTGTTATGGTTGTTGTTGGTGATTGTTGTGTTTGTTAGTGTGGTAGGCTGTTCTTGTTGTTGTTGTTGTAGGTTGCTATTGTTGTTGTTGTTGATTGTTGGTGTTGTTGCTGTTGGTTGGTCTTGTTGCTGTTGTTGTTGCTGGTTGTTTTTGTTGTTGTCCTTGTTGGTTGTTATTGTTGTTGGTGTTGGTCGTTGTTCTTCTTGTTGTTGGTGGCTCTTGTACTTGTTGTTGACGGCTCTTGCTGTTGTTGGTTGTTATTGCTGTTGTCATTGTTGATTGTTCATGGGGTTGTTGGTTGTTCTGGTAGTTGTTGGCGTTGCTTGTTATTGTTGGCGTTCTTGGTTGTTCTTGTTGGTGGTTATTGTTGTAGTCGTTGGTTGTTCTGGGCGTTGCTGTTGGTTGTTATTGCTGCTGTTGGTGTTGATCGTGGGTGTCGTTAGTTGTTCTTTTTGCTGGTTGCGGTGGTAGTTTGTTGCTGTTGTTGTTCGTTGCTGTTGTTGGTCGTTGTTGTTGTTGGTCTTCGTTGTTGTTGGTCGTTGTTGTTGTTGGTTGTTCTGGTTGTTGTTCCTGGCTGCTCTTGGTTGTTGATGTTGCTATTGTTGGTTGTTGTTGTTGATCCTCGTGGTTGTTGTTCTGGCTGTTGCTCTTGCTGGTTCTTATTCGTTGTTGTTTTTGCTGGTCGTTGTTGTTGTTGGTTGTTCTGGTTGTTGTTTTGGCCGTTGTTCTTGCTGGCTATTCTTGGTTATTGTTGTTTGTTGTTGTTAGCGGCCTCGTGGGCACAAGGGTAGTGTAGTGAAGCACTGCGCCCTTACTTTCAACATTGACTGTGTCTCCTACCCCTGTCATCACAAATCGCCCCCCCAAACCTTTCCAGGGTGCGTCTTGACAAGAATTTCGAGGCGGATGCAGCCGTGGCGACGAGGGCGCCCCCAGAGGCCCCAAAAAGGACACACATCCTCACAACAAACGCGTCCCTCGGACCTCGATCCCCCTTTCTCCTTGACCCCGGCTTCCCCAGGAGCGCCGCCATGGGTGGGGCACCAAAACTAAAGGCGCCACCAGAGTGTATTGGTCACTGCGGGGGGCTTAAGAGCAGGAGGGGGTAGGAAGGTGGAGGAGGTGTTGGAACAACAACAACCGATAACAATCACCAACACCAATAACACAGAACAACAACAACCAATACCAACAACAACAAGCAACAACGACAATCAGCAACAACCAACCACAACCAACAACAACCAATAATAACCAACAAAAAACACAGCCAGAACAGCAACCATAACAACCAACACCAAACACGACCAACAACAACCAATCCTAACCAACAAGAACAACAGTCAGAGCAGCCAACGACAAGAACAACCAACAACACCCAATACCAATCAACAAGAGCAGCAGCCAGAACAACCAACAATCACGAGGACAAACAACAATAACAGCCAACACAAACGACGACCAACAACAACAACGACCAACCATGAGACCAACGAACAACCACAACGACAACACTAACAACCAACACCAACAACTACCAACACCAATAACAGTACCAGCAACCAGCAACAAGCATAACCACCAACAACCAGAGCACCCAAGAACAATAAACACGACCAACATAACCACCAATAACAAGCAACACCAACACTAACCGCCAAAAGCAATAACAACCACTACTAACACTAATAACAATCAACACCAACACGAACAGCAACCACCAACAACGACAACAAAAACCACCAGCAATAACAACCAACACGCAACAACAATACGCACCAACAGCACCAATCACAATACACAACAACAACGACCAACGACCAACAACAACAGCGACAAACAGCAGCAACAACGGCAACAACCAGGGCTCGGTCTGCCCTAGTCGTAGTACGTGTAGTAGTAGGAGTAGTAGTAATAGTAGTAGGAGTCGTATGAGTAACAGGAGTAGTACGAGTACTATGAGTAGCAGTAGTAGTAGTAGTAGTAGTAGTAGTAGTAGTAGTAGTAGTAGTAGTAGTGGTAGTGGTAGTAGTAGTAGTAGTAGTAGTAGTAGTAGTAGTAGTAGTAGTAGTAAGAATAGTAGGAGTAGTAGTAGTAGTAGTAGTAGTAGTAGTAGTAGAGTAGTAGTAGTAGTGTAGTAGTAGTAGTAGTAGTAGTAGTAGTAGTAGTAGTAGCCGTCGTCGTAGCAGTAGCAGTAGTAGTAGTAGT